GTACAACAGCCCCAGATACTTCCCGTTGGGGCCACCCACCGTGTTCACGCCCAGCAATGGGGTGATGCCAGTTGGAACTTTGCTGATGGTCACCGTGGCCACAAGCGTCAGCTCCTCACCCACATAACTGCACACTGCATTACCCTCCCGTCTGCCCACCGGCCACGCAATCCGTGCACCACGCCCTGCCAACCGGAAGCCATTCTCAACCTTCGTCGTCGTCCCCGTAGGCACCGTGGCGCCCACCCCGAAGTACTCGTCATTCCAGTGAGTATCGCTGGCATTGTTAGACAAAAATCCAATCAGCCCGGCCGTTGGCAGAGGACCGACACAGCCAGCACCTTCTGCGCCATCCTTCATTGCAGCGGTGGTGGTGGAGCCGCAAAGCTTTGAGACCCTGTCATCAACTTCTTTCCATTTACTCAATACGGTCTTGATGTGCTGCAGCTGCTCCGTGAGCGGCCTTAAAAAAAGACGGTGTGGCATTTCATGCTCCCCTTTCTTCGAGTAAAGGGCAAACAACCCATCTTTTGTGTGCAGCAAAGAGCTGAAGGGAAAAAATCCCGCATCAGCAGATATTGGCCCAACATCATATATCCGAGCCCCATCAGAGAGCCACAGGTGAATTACATTATGGGTGTCGTTTGGTGCGTTGCCCCCTTCTTCTGTTTTGTGAATGAACACCAGCTGGGTGCACAGCAGCACAGTCTTCTCCTCAATGGTTGCTGTAATGAGCTCCACAAAACCATAGATATCCGGTAGTGCGTGTGCGTCACTCAGCAGGCGCGAGAGTGGCCCGGTGGCCTCTGTCCATGTCTTCCCATTGTCAGCGGATTCGTACACCTTGCGCCACCACGAAGAAGAAGAAGAAGGGGCCGCGGTGACCATGAGGAGTTTCCCCTCCCACTCGAGAAGCCTGGCGAAAGCGCAGTCATTGGCGATCGCAGCTTGCGCAGGAAATTTCCAACTCACGCCATTGTCGTCGGAGTAAATGACGGTGCAAGCGGTTATGTCTCTTTTTTTTTTCTTCGTTTCCCTCGTAGGCTCGTTTTGTTGCCAAAAGAGGGAAAACAATCGTACTGCCCCCAACTGCAACGCCTCTGGACCCATCAACAGCCTCCAGCCTCTCCCACAAATGCTGCTGCATCGGCAAGCTGGTCTTCTTCCATGAGACTTGTTTCCCATCATTCTCTGCGGTCTTCCGAACCTCACCAACAATCAGATCAAGGCCCCAGAAAGTTACAGGCGCCGAAACAACCTTGGTAATAACGGTGAAGTTCGACGCAAGAACAAATATTTTATTTCCCCTCACCACAGCCTTGGGACTGCGCACTACGTAATGGTGGCCCTCTTCGGCAGACGGTTTTGTCACAAGTTGCGTTTTCCAGTGATTATCCGATGCAGCGTCTTTTGGCATCTTACTGCCGTCTCCGTACGGGTGCCACTTTGCCCATATGTCAGTATACGTGCCGTAGCTACCATCATCGTTGTAGGCAGCCAGAGCAAGTGCAACCATCACACCATCTGCCTCAACGAGGGAACTGCCTTGGAATGAGGAAGCGCTCTTGTAGCGTGCTTTTATTCCCTCCTCTTCCCCATCAGCGGGCACCACATCCTCCCTCGGTTTGAAGAGCTCAACCTCCTTCGACTCCGTCCCTTCAGCGCTGGCAGCTTCACTGCTGCCGCGCGCCAGCAATGGCACAAAGAGGAACAGCAGCAGCACCGCGGAAGACAAAAACACGTGCCGGGGCATGTTGGGCCGTCGCTGCTCTCACTCTCCCTCTCCCTCTCTCTCCCTTTCCTCCTTGCGGTGGATCCGCTCAGGCCGCGACGGTTGTGTGTGTATGTGTGTGTTGCCGGTGGTGACTGCAGAGCCTTCAGCGCGCACAGCAGCGAGTGGTGTTTGGTCTCCTTCCTTCTGCGTGTGTGGGTGTGTGGGAGAGACGCGAGGCAATGCCATAACGGAACGGGGGCGTGCCGGTAGAGAGAGGGAAGAGGGAGTTAAAGGCAGCGCAATTCCGCAAGGTGGCGGCCGCGGCACCGGAGCTCAGGCAGCAGCGGTGACTATCGCCCGAGACACAAAAGAAGAGATACCGCAGATGAAAAGTAATAAATTCCCGCAGTTCCCCCCAAAATAATAATAATTTTAAAAAATGCACCGGCAGATGTTTTTGCCCCACGCACCCAGCAGCGCAAGAGGGCAGTGCGTGTCCGTGTGC